GCACGAATGAAAGTGGAGAGACTTGAACTAATCAGAGACTTCATTGCCATCTACGTAAATGGATATCAATTTGGTGAGAATATGGTGTTAAAAAACAGTCTAGGGTGAATAGACTTTTAAAATCAAAATCAATTGATTCTTCAAATGAGAATAACTTGAGGTTTATTAGAGTTTGCATGCATAAATTTATAGAACGAAAATATGAAATTATACTCACTTGACAATTATTTATGTAACAACTCAAATCACTTTACAAATATCACAATGTCTAGATGAAGAAACACAATGTATGGAATTGAATTAATTGGATAAGCCACAAGGTATGGTTAAACAATTAATCAATAAACAAATTTTAAAAACATGATATTTCTCATATTTTAATCACCACTAAAGCTCTTGTTAAATCTTTAGTTTCAATAAAACATACGCTTATCAAATAAATCGTTATGACCGAATTTAAACCTAAGCATACATGTTCTACAAAATATAAAATCAAGAGTAAGGGATAGAGATATGACACTGGGATTTATAGTGATTCGACTATGTCGTCCTCGCGTGAGTCTACGTTCATTTCTTCCAATAGTTTCCTTTTATTTTGACAAACATCTCAAGAGTATATACAATCATTAATCCATAATAATACTAAAGAAACATAACAAATAAAATCTTCAATTTGGATCATCACTTGTATAAGGCTTAATGTCACACTCTTCTGCCCAATCTTTACTTAATCAACACTTTGAATCCTCCAATATCACCAATCTACTTCAAGCCTTTGTGTGTAGCAATCAACCTCTTGATCCTACTCATTCCTTGAGCAGTGAATTATCTGAAGATATAAAAAAAACCTTGTTTTATCTGTAGCCTTCCACACAGTCACTACTAAGGAAATTTTGTAGAGAATACCTTCTTCTTTTCACTGGAATTTGTCAACACTAATGACAATAATCCAATCTTGCAAGAACATGAAAATCTTATACCCAATCTTCAAGAACAATTGGTTTCAAGACAGTATCTTCCTCAATCAATTACAAATCTCTCATTATTAAAATATGAAATTGAAATTAAGGTTGAAGATGAAAGAATTTCTAATGCAAGGGTTTTAAAAGAGGGAGTTGATTTTTCATAGAAATTCACAAAACAGTTATGAAAATCATTATTTGAAGAAGTGTTGACAAAAGGTTTTATATGTGTCTGAGATTAAGCATAAAAAGACTGAAAAATGGTAGTTAGATTTGAATCAAAGAAAATTTAGTTTTGAGTTAAATGAGCAAGTGAGTGGAATAAATGAAAATCTGATTTTTTACCCATTTTGCAATTGATTCAAATCAAGCACATGGTGTGATTCAAATCATGTTCAAAAATTGATTTGAATCAAATCAAACAACCCTAACTAGAAAATGCAGAAAAAGTGTGATTCGAATCATGTTCAAAGTTTGATTCAAATCAAACTGAGCAGAAGGTAACAAGAAGTGTATGATTTGAATCATGTTCTTTTAAATGATTCGAATCATGTTTAAAAAATGATTTGAATCAAATAGTTGAAAAATTCCTTATATGTTTATGTTCAATTAGATTTGAATCATAAAATGTGTTTGATTCTCATGATTCAAATCAAACATGTAAAATTCCAATTTTTCATGTTTTCAAAAGTACTTTGAGATTTTATATTTCACTTACTCCAAATAAAAAACATGTAATGTTCTTATTCTACCAACTCATGCAAATGACTAAATATCTTACGATCAAGTTCGAATATAACCAATGATTTATGCATACTAAAAATATTTACGAATTGATTTCAAACTTGATTCAAGGTGTTCAATTCATGAGGGAGACTCAATAAAAGATAATAAACGAAAGCGATGAGGCAAGCAGTAAAATACATGTATCAGAGGTACTCCACTGCATATGATAAGGACATGAAACCAACTCCCCTTAGGTATGTGCAAGTACAATATCCATCGAAAATATTAAGATATGGGTTAATTTACCTGAACATGTACGTGGGGGCGTTGATGAAATTTTTGTAAAAGAATCGTGTTTGCTTGCATGGTCGACAAGGAAAATTCTAGGTTTTAGCCCAAAGATAACATTTTATACTTTGCCCTCAAATTCAATGTCCCTTATGTCGCTCACCGTAAGCAAAAATAGTCACTAGAAAAGGACAGATCCGCAAAGAAGTTCATAGACAAGCTCCTTAATAATGGATTAACAGTTGAGGCAATATACAAAGCATGGATTTTCAATGTAGTACTGGTGAGGAGAGCAAACAAGAAGTGGCACGTGTGCATTGATTATTAAGATCTATATATGGCATGTATGAAAGACTCTTACACATCCCTCAACATTTATAAGATCAGATAACACTGGACCCTATCGGCTGTAGAAAAACCACTTTAATGACAAACGAAGGAAACTTTTGCTATAAGGTCATATGTCTCTCGATCTCAAAAATGTTGGGGCAACTTACCAATAAATCATGAACAAGGTCTTTAGAAACCAGATAAACGATATGTTGTAGGTCAACATGGATGACGTGATCTTCAAATATAAAGAGTAATAAGAGCACACAACCCACCTAGAATCCATATTTGGGGAAGTGGGAAAACACGAGATACAATTGAATCCCAATAAATGTACCTTTAGAGTAAGTTTTGGGAAGTTATTAGGACATTATCTTACATAAAAGGGGATATAGGTAAACTCTGCCAAATGTTAGGAAGTAGTTAAACGACATGTTAATTGTCTTATCTCGATTTATTTCCAAAGCCACATATTATATGATGTCATTTTACAAACTCTTAAGGAAATAAGAAACATGTGAGTCGACTTCAAAGTGATTAAAGAAGTGTTGTCGAAACTTTATATCATGGTCCGCCCAAAAGAAGGCAAACCTATTTTCATCTACCTCTTTGTTTCTCTCAAAGTAGTTGGAGTCCTTTTGGTAAGAGAAAATGACTCCTCACAAGACCGGGTTATTTCATATGGTAAGTTCTTCAAGGCCCATAAGTCTGTTATCAGAAGGTAGAAAAAAATTCCTTAACACTCTTAATAGCGGCTAGGAAACTATGACAATATTTCCTCGCCCATACAATAGTGGTGAGAACCGACTATCATATCAAAAAGATACTCCATAAGTAAGATCTAGTAGGAAGAATTACAAACTCGATCATAGAACTACCAGAGTTTGATATTTCTTAAGAACCGAGAAAGGCATTTAAAGGTCAAGCGTTCGCAGATTTATGGCCAAGACCACCATCGAGGAACCAGATGTTTTGACCAAATGGAAGACTTCTTCTCGAAGACGGACAAGACATTGGGCTAGAGATTTCCATAAGGATTGAATTTACCACTTAAAATAACTAGAAAGAGTAAGAGGTATGCTTGGTCGGGTTATGATTGACATCCGAGATAGGGGTCAAAGTAGTAATAATCATGTCAGATTTGCAGTTAGTTGCATCATAGACTCGAGGAGAATATCAAGCCAAAGATAACATCATAGGTTTAGGGAGAACACAAAACCTTTGTCACCTCAACAATTAAGTTTTCATGTCGTGAAAAAAGAGACTCAAATGAAGTAGGAGACTGAAATTTCGAAAATTTTGAAATTGGGAGACCTACAAATTTAATTTTAAAACTGGGGACCTATTCAACCGGTATAGAGTTCAGGATCTGATAGGAGGCAGTGGCTGGAGAAGAACATTGTGGAATGTCTCCGACACGGTGGGGGGTCTTCGATGGAGAAAGAGAAGGATGTACCTGCAAGGTCAAAACTCCAAGACCCAAATAATTAAAGATAGAGAGAAAAAACTAGCAAGTTCGTAATGAATTGTACTTTGGTGTGACATAGAGTCACATTTGTATATGAATGACAATTAAAACCATTTTGGTGAATGTGACGTATGACTTTTGTGTAGGTCTCCTTAGCAAGAGTACACATATTTGTCAATTGAGCGTGTGAGACTTTAAATTAGACATTTGTATTGAATTGGTCTTATTAAATTGTTTGATCGGTCAAAAATATTTTCATTAATCAAAATGATGTTATTAAAAAAATCCATTTTAATACTATCAGATAATATAATGCTTGATTTACTTAAATTAATAGATAGCTCTAATGTTGTTAAAATGTTCTTCAAAACACAATATTCACTCTTACGAACTTTACTAAAAGGAACTAAATTTCTAAAAATAATAACTACAAAGAAGGATAATATACACCAACATTTATACAAATATAGATATTAATAATAATTTAAAGAGATTAATTAATCTATACCACAGTTTTAAACATCAGTCGAGATTAAGTTATAGTGACACAAAGGTTTTTATGATTTTGTTCGATACATATATATTTTAATACTAATTTTAATTGTTGTAGTGTGAATTAATCACGACAATTTTTTTTAATCAAAAAGACAATAAATAATAGTATTGATATCAACACTTTCTTTATCGTTTTATCATATACTCTTTTTTAAATCTTATTAACTACTATAAATTTCTTTTTTTGTTTTTACACTCTAATTCTTAAAAAAATGATTTTAATAATCTAGAGTTCGTGTCCAGAGATATGAATATTAAATAAATACTACCCTAGAGCTTTCATTAGCCTCACCTCAGTAAATTAAGTCTTAAAGATCACCAAATCAAAACAAATTCAAAGGATGAGATTGTTGGAAGTCTCTACCAGGATGACAAATCCAACCTTCTCTCTTGATTTACCAAGAACCATACAATTAATTTAAAATATAGAACAGAATATTAAAAACTTAAGATCCAATCAGAAAACGCCGATATACACCGGTTCACAATCACACACACTACCAAAAAAACATATCAACCTTGTCTTTTTGTTTTTATTTATTTCAATTTCCACAATTAGGCACTAGATACAAAGATCTCTATCTTCCAACAAATATTTTCCCCCATTTTCTCTTAGTCAACATCTACTTCTCTGAGTGGTTCCTGCAAACAAAACACAAGACAAAAATAATATGGTGTCTGAAAGAGCTAAGCTTCACACAGCCTTAACTTTTTTACAATTCTGTCATGCAGGAAATCATATATTTCTCAGAATTGCACTCAATACTGGTGTCAGCAAGCTTGTTTTTCCTGTTTATAGAAACATCACTGCTTTCATTCTTCTAGCTCCACTTGCATATTTCACTGAAAAGTATATTTCTACTTTACCTCTATAGCAACCTTTGATTATAGTATTTAACTTTCTCACTTTTTTGTTCTTGTTTTTATGTGTTTCTCTCTTTGCAAGGAAAGATAGGCCACCAATAACCAGTTATTGTTTGTTACAGTTTTTCCTACTTGGACTTGTTGGGTATAATTCTCTTTTCATGAAGCTATTTCATTCATCATTGTATTGAACAAAACATGTTTGTGTAGCTTAAAATTGCTTGATTCTGACAGAATAACTATGAAAGAAGGATTTTACCTTGTTGGTTTGGACAATACATCGCCAACATTTGCTTCTGCTATGCAAAATTCTGTTCCCGCCCTTACATTTCTGATGGCTGTGATTCTAAGGCAAGTTACAACTTATAACCCTTGTCCTCTAGAGGTTAAAGTTCAGATCTTTTTGATCATATATATATTCATGAACTTGTTCAATTATGTATGTGAAAGTGCAGATATGAGAGCTTGCGCTTAAATAGGATCAATGGTATAGCTAAGGTTCTTGGAGTAGTTGCTTCTGTTGGAGGTGCTTCAATCATTACACTTTACAAAGGACCAACAATTTATGCTCCAGAATCACCTTTAAGAGTACACCAGGGACAATTCTTGTTGTCTCTATTTGAGGATTTCAATGGGAAAAACTTGAGCTTGGGTGGCATATTTCTCTTTGGTCACTGTTTGAGTTGGTCTGGTTGGATTGTGATGCAAGCATTTGTTCTGAAAAATTATTCAGCACAACTCACTGTTTCTGCTTTTACTTGCTTATTTGGTATTGTGCAGTTTGGAACAATAGCAGCATTTCTTGAGAAGGATCCCAAAGCTTGGCAGCTCAATTCCATTGACGAAGCTTATAGTATTTTATACTCGGTTCGTAAATCAAATTTGTTTGTGTTAATTTATCAGTTCCCTTTTTGGCTAATTTTAAAATTTGGGTTGAGTTATCCTTATAAAATCGGTTTCTAAGGTGAAAGATGTCTCCTAATTATAAACTTAAATGTGAGACTCTTAACACGTCTCACAATTAAGACCAGACATCTGAAGCGTGACTTGAGTGACAAGATAATAGGTGACTCAATAGATCTTACATAAATTCGGACATGAACATTTCATAAGATAATTTCACATGTTCTTTCAAGTATTTGTGCCAAAGTGTTGATGTCATAAGGAAAGTCCAAATAAGCTCTTCCAACTTGGATTATGATTAGTGACTTTGACATGTATAGAACTCATTTTAACTATTAGGTTGATTTGCATCAGGGAGTGGTGATTTCAGGTGTGGCAGCAGCAATACAAATATGGACTATTAGCAAAGGAGGGCCAGTGCTTGCTTCAATTTATCTTCCCTTACAGACATTACTTGTAGCTTTGATAGCATCCATTGCTTTTGGTGAAGAATTTTTCTTGGGAGGGTATGTATGTTCTCAATATAGTAACTTCAATTTCATTTTGTTTCCTTAAAAATTTGATGATTTTTAATTGTGAGGTGCAGGATCGTTGGAGCTATCTTAATTATAACCGGTTTATACCTTGTTGTATGGGGAAGAAGTCAAGAAACCAAGTCTGATGAGCCTGAGAATCGTATGGAAGAAAAAATTGATAATTCTTACCTCATCCAACCATTGATTTCTGTGCACAACTCTTAGATGTTAGAGGAACAATGTAATAGTCTCTTGATCTCTTGAGCCTTAAGTTAAGGTGACCAAATATTACACTATTTCTTTGATGTAGCAGGGTAGTTTTGCGAGTACCAACATTGATATGGATGCACTGTGATTTGTTTAGGAATTCTTGGTCTCTCTTTGCCTTTGGGTTTAAATATTTGTTAATAGTTTGATGTGAATAACGCTAATATATATTTAATGTCACTTTGAGTCTTATTTTTAGAAATTTTTGTTTCATAGTTTGGATGGGAATGGAAGAATTTCAAAAAATAATTTTGTATATAATGATAAAAGAGTATTTATCATTATTATAATTTTAATTTTCATAATATTATAACAATATAGAAGATATTTGAAAATTTTATGTAAGCCTTCCGAAATTTTATTTCAATACAAATTTGGAGTTCTACACAATTCATGGACTTTTGGTGTTATGAATAAAAACAAATTCTCAAAAACTCTCTCAACCAAAATCTTTCAACTTTTTCCACTCAATCTTTCTTTTTTTCAAAGTCTTTCCCTCTCTCTCCCTTCAAACTCCCAAACAGATTGTGAGTATCAGAGTTTGATTCCTCATGATGGCGTATGTTTCGTTCGAGAACCAGAAACGGATGCAATTAGTGAACTGATGATCTTGAACGATGCATCTGATCTCCTTTACGGTGGTGCGGGATAGACCTACATGGTTAGCACTCCAACGCTCAAGTCAGTTCAAGATTCAAGATGAGCATAGTGTAGATGAAATCAGAGATTGTACTCTACTCTTAGCGTGTGAACTGTTTTTATACTTTGGGTCAAGTGTAGTGAATTTGAGATGGATTGGGCCTTGGTCGGTCTAGTACAGTTGCCCCCAAGTCTTGGACGGACACTGAAGGAGCTAGGGGAAGTTTTAAGTATCATTAATTGGCCTCTATGACTTGATTCGATGTGAAATATAACTGAAACGCTTGGGATCGATTTTAAGAAAAGTAATGGAGAACATGTGCGTTTAATGTAGTTCCATCATTGAAACGCTTCATCGCCCTTTTCAAACACGTGCAGTTATGTAACCAGTTAGGGTATGACGCAATTTACAGAGTACTTGAGTGCACTCAAGTTGACGAGTATTAATAAGTGAAAATTTAGTCATTGATCTTGTGATTTCTTTTTGTAGTTGGTCAGATCCTTTTAGCTCTCGCAACTTATAAATAGAGTGAATCGAGTATTTGGAAATTTCACAGCCTTTAGCATTCGACTTACAATTACTTTCCATAAAACATCTTTGTTTCCTCTTCCCTGAGAATATCACTAGGAGCGATTTCAGTGCCTTTCTTAAAGCTTTCTTCTTTCTTCCATTCCTCTTGCTTCATCAAACACACATAACTAAGTACCTTTCTAACTCAAACTTGTATCTTTATTATTTCCTGTTTTTTAGCTGGGATAAGTGACAATACAATTGACCTAGTGACCGATTTTGAAATTGAAACTTCATCTTCTTCTATAATGGGGATATCTCCTGATTCTCATCACCTTTTTCATAGTAGTGATTGTGATACGGTGGGAGAACTGACTATGGTTTTGCGTTTGTTTTCGCAAATGTTTCGGTTGAGCAAGAGTCGCCACCGACTTTTTATTTTATCCTAAGGAAAGGTTAAAAAGCACAGCAAAAACCTTTGAGATGTTTTCTTGGGTTCGGGGAGTAGATTATAGAAAGGGAAAGTATTAGCACCCTTTCTATCCATGGTTTTCCATGGGCTCTTAGTTACTTGCTTAGATCAACTTGCCTTGGTTTTCAATTGTTTGAAATTGTGCTTTGTGTGTGTGGGTTTTGAAAATGTTTTGAAAAGAGGCCAATGTGGTGGCAACCTTTGTAATGATCCATGTTGGGATGTATACAAAGGTGTATGTCTTTTGAAAAGGTTTTCAATGTTTTGAAAGTTTGTTTTGAAAGTGTAGTGATGTGTGGTTTGGAAAATAGGCAAATGTTTTGTTTTGCAAGTTCTCAAGTACTCAAGAGCTATCTACCCTAAAGTTCTCAAAGATTTTTGCTATGTTTTAACCCTTTTAACAATTTTGTTCCACCATTGCATTTGGTGGACAATCTTGTGTTAGGATGTGAAAGGGACGGGCGCGGGTCATCGTTTAGACCATAATTGCAATGGTGCCAAGTATCTTTGGGCAATTTTTCCTTGGAGGGACTTGATCATTTTTTAGGCAACTTTCGAAAGCGTCATCGAGGGACTATGATCATTTGAATTGTATTTGTTTTGCCCAAAGAGACCTAACATGCAATATGACCCATTATTGAAGGCAACAAGTGGAATACCCTAGGGGTGCAAGTGTGATTAGTGTTGTCCATTTTCATGCTTGTTTATCTTGAAATTAGGTCAAACTATTTTGGTTAATTGATTTGCATACAAACCCTAATTCTAACATGGCATAATTAGAAAGCATTAAAATGCGAAAAATAAAGTTCCTAGGTTATTACAACACAATATATGGGAAAGGGGATACAAATGTTCAAATGGGGGTATTTTGACAAGGAATTTAAACCTAGACTATTACATCAAATTGGGAATTATACAAATTATTTAATATACAACAATTAAATAAAAATGGAATAAATATGCAAGATGCAAAAAAATGTTTTTTATATGTATGAAAAAAGTGTTTTTTATATGTCAAATAAACAAAATAAAAGTATTATTCTTTTGGAGTTTTTATGTATTTAGGGCAAAACCCTAATTTATTAAATAAAAGGTATTAATTGTTTAATATATACAATATTCATTAGTTATGTACAATATATATATATATATATATATATATATATATATATATATATATATATATATATATATATATATATATATATATATATATATATATATATATATATATATATATATATATATATATATATATATATATATATATATATATATATATATATATATATATATATATATATATATATATTTGTCAAAAAGGTATTTTTAATGCTAAATATTAATAAAAATAAAAATGTATATATTTTGTATTTTTTAACCTAAATATACTAATATATATGTATGTATTTGTATTATTTATTAAATATATTGAATATGCACAAAATAATAATATTTAATATTTATAAAAAAAGTATATTTTATATAAAATATTTTCAGAAGATAAAATAAAATAAAAATCAGAAAATAAATGTGTTTGCATTATTTTTTAGTATTTTGAATAAAAGTATATCTATATATTATTTATGTACAAACATTATTTTAAACAAATAAATGCCTAATAAATTCAAAAATAGTGTGAAAAATATTTTTTATATTTTTAATATTATGAGAAAAAATAAATAAGTCAGAACAAAAAAGAAAAGGTCAAAAAATCATAAAAATAAGCATAATGGGCCTAGGGGGTGTAAAAGTAACAAAAGGGTGCAAATAGAAAAATGAAACAGAGCCTAGCCCAAAAGACCTTCTTCAACCTCCAGACTGTTTGAACATGAACAAAACGCGCGTTTTCTATCTCCAGATTCCTGGACTTTCAAGCAAAACTCACAACATGAAAAATGTAGAGCATTAAGAGACGAATCCAGACATATAAAGAACTTGACTTAACTCTCTAAGATGAGAGAGAATTTCTCCATCCCTAATTCTTGACCTAAGTTTCCATCAATGTTCAGACCTTAAATTCTCATAGCACATGCAAAATAAATGGAAAGTAAAGATATGTACAACTTCAGGGGCATGAGTAAAACATTTTTCATTCACAAACCAAGAGCTAACAATGCCTGGATAGGGAGATAGAAGTCCATGAACTTACCTGTTCAGTTGGAATCGTATCTGATGATGGAGGTGTTTTCAATGCAAGGTGATGATTGGTACAACTTCCTTGATGTCCAGGGATGCTATTCCAAGCTTTACTTTGTTTGGAAACCAAGAGAATCGTGTTATGGAACTTCAATTGCAAAACAAAAAAATGAAAATGGTGATGTTGCTTGGGAGTGTTACAGGTCGTGTTTGAGGCTTGGAATAGTTTCAAGTGATGATGTGGGATATGTTTGAAGTGGTTTTAGCAAGAATGCATGAATGGATTGAGTTATGGAACTCAATCTGCAGCAGGTACCCTGTTTGAGCAGTTTGAGGGTGATTCTGTGTTTGAGAAGGCAATGGAGATGGTTGGCTCGTGTTTTACCTTAGGTTTGATGATTAGAAAGTGTTTGGTAACTTTGCTTAAGCTCTGGTTCACAGGAATGAGAGTTGTGTCTTGTTATGCTATGTTTCTTCAACTTTAAGCAACAAATGTCAACTTGTGTTTCTAGCTTGTACAGGCCCCCAATCTATGCTGCATACCTTGGCCTTGATCAGTGTAATTAGTCCATAAACTTGTGCCAAAGGGATCTGCCTTGTACTTGCTTGGATTTGCATTTGACATAAAGTTTAACTTTTCTAAAATGGCAAAAATGCTTTATCTAAAAATGGCTTAATCTTGCATATAATGTTTGAACACACAAAATAAGGCCTTGGCACAATGAGTTAGCATTAAATTATTGAGTGCAAATGGGATATAGGACCTGTAATCAAGGAAAGCAAGCTGAATTCAAAATGGCACAAATGTATGAACATGTAAATTGGCTAAATCAAAAGTGAGTTTTTCCCAACTTGCCAAATTCGATTCTCCCTAACCACGAGGTTGTTTGATTAGTTCTTGGACATTTTGGAAAGCTTGGAATGTGTACTACAATCCATCTTTGAAATTCAATTTGAAATTCCAAGTGGAAGTATGTGAAAAATGGTCTTGAAGTTAGGCAAAAATCCTGCCTAAAATGGTTCAAAATTTCTCTAAGTTAAGAATGGTTTGGTACCCTTGTTCCAAAAATTGTAACTTGAGCTACAAGCTTCTTTTTGGAAAACTTTGTGAATCAAAGTTGTAGATTTTGCAATGGACTACAACTTTCATGTTTTGACTTTTGCTTGAATCCAAATGAATCTTGGTGAGAAAGTGGG